CTTCGAGCTGAGAAGTCAGCTCGTGCCTTGCCCGCTTCCAAATTTCTCAGGTTTTTTAATTAGTAAGCCCCGGCCGAAGCAGCCAGTGACTTAACCTCAAGCCTACAACAAAACCTGCAACCTTGGCCGAAGCAGCCAATGGAAGTAACGGCTGCTGCGACGAAGTTAGCCCAGCCTGCTCTTTTTGGAAGGGCGTGCTGCAGCCTTAGGCCACACGATCCCACTTTTGAAGCTGCCAGTCTTCAAATAAAGGGAGTCAGGTGCGATCTGCGCTGCAAAGGCAAAATCCCCAAACCACGTCTCCAACATAGTGTCCCAGTCGAAGCGGTCGTGAGTCGCCCGACTTTGTGACAATGCTGCCATCACCTCAGTAGCGTGCCAAAAGTCATTTTTGACATAGTTATTCAACGCCAGTGTCTTGCCTGGCGCACGCGCAGGAAGAGCAGTCATGATTCTGTGCTTTGGTCGCGAGTGAAGGTCGGACAACGCGATTGCGGTGCAAATATCCAAAGCAAAAACAATGTCTTCCAACGCATCCGCTGCTTCTTCAGGCAATTGTTGCCAAGTCCAGAGTAGGGCATTTCTTGTGCGTTCCACCCGGTCAAGGACTTGGAACAAAGGAAAAGCCAGAAGCAACCTCTGACGGCTCCATGGTTGCAAAGTGCAGAAACTGAGTTTCTTCGTGTGAACTTTTCTCAGCGCGACTTGTCACAGGCATGAGCGCTGCAAAGGAGCTAGCCATTGAACTCTTTCAAGTGTTAACTACTTAGCCTCAAATTTGAGCCCCAAGCTGAAAGCAAACACTATACCGAGCTGGACACGGATGACGACTTGACTGAAGGGAAAGGGTCTCGGTTGTGACGCGTTTTTTTGTCTCGAATGTGACGCGGAGAGCTTTTCTCAGTTGTGACGCGGAGAGCTTTTCTTTTAGAGAATCTGTGTGCTTCTGGGCCCTTGCTTGGTTCTCATAAAGTCATAAAGCTCCAATCCAGCTCCACACCAATTCCACCAAATGCCACTCTAAACTCTGAAGCCCAACAACCTAATGTCCCACCCCACCCCTAAACCCCCCCCACCCCCCCCACCCAACCTAATGCCCCACCCCACCCCACCCCCCCACCCAACCTAATGCCCCACCCCACCCCACCCCAACCTAATGTCCCACCCAACCTAATGCTTGCAATCATATGTGTGCATGTGTCTGTGTCGCGAATGAGAGAGATTTGGTGTCGCACATGAGAGGAATACAGGGGGGTGGTGGTGTCGCAAATGAGTCCGATTTGGTGTCGCAAATGAGTCCCTTGCCGACTGAAGTTAGGAAAACCAGGGCTTTGGTGCAAAACTTGGATTGTTTTCCCCATAGCTGACCTTAGTTGACTCACTGCTAAAAAAGTTTCTGGCCGCATCAGCCAGGAAGCTGACCTTAGTCGACTCACTGCCAAAATGGCTTCTGGCCGCATCAGCCAGGAAGCCAAGCAGCCAAGCGTAGTGCCACCCATTGAGAGTTTGCGAGCCTTGGTACGCGCATGTTTTTTTAAGTTCTCATGCTGCAGGGAGCCTGCCTCTCTGACAGCATACATGGCGAACTTACTGCTGCATTTGCTGAAGCTGCACGCTTTGCAACCAATGCCCCACGGTTGCTCTTGGTCTGACAGCCATGACCCACCTTCAGGATCATGTGGGCTCAAAGCAGAAACTCATGAGTCCACTTGTCGCCTAAGCGCTTCCATTTCTTGTATGCAGAATCCTTCTCACATAGCGTCATGACAAGTGCACAGGCCTTGGCCGCAGCAGCCAAAGGCCTGGGCACCTGGGACGACGCACCCTGAAGTTACACTAGGTGAGATTAATGGCCCAAAGGAGCAACGAGCAAGCCAAATATCTTCACTAAATGTGAAAAATAACTTTCTTGCGCGTAGACGAGGAATGTGGAAGGCTCAAACGAGTTTGAGGTGCTCATTGAAAAGTTAGAGCTTTGAAACAGCAACCACATTCCAAAAACGGCGCCGTGAATGATAGATTATTAATATCTAGCGTGTGTTACTTGTTTTGCCTCTGTGCGCTGCTGCTTAGGTGAAGCATGACATGAACACATTTCTTCAAAGGTAAACGATAATTGAAAATTGATTTTGCATCCAAATTGACTTTTTTAGTTTTGAGGGAAAAACGGCCAAACAAAAATACAAAAATACCACTATATAAAAGCAAGTCTTCCAGCTCCCCAGCTACTCCGCGTACTAAAGTTGTACTACAAAGTCGCCAGTTCTCAGCTTCCAGCTCCACAGTTTGCTCCGTATACAGTTGTACTACCAAGTCGCCAGTTCTCATCTTCCAGCTCCCCAGCTACTCCGCGTACTAAAGTTGTACGACAAAGTCGCCAGTTCTCAGCTTCCAGCTCCACAGATTGCTCCGCGTACTAAAGTTGTACTAGAAACTCGCCAGTTCTCGATCAGCTTCCAGCTCCACAGCTACTCCACGTACTCAAGTTGTACTACAAAGTCGCTTCTCAGCTTCCAGCTCCACAGGTTGCTCCTCGCACGCTCGCCTGCATTTCGCGCACTCGACACGCACGATCTCCGCAGAGGGTTGTGCGGGCAGCCGGCAAATCGCACTCTCGCCTGCATTTCGCGCACTCGACGCGCGCGATCTCCGCAGAGGGTTGCGCGCGCACCGCGCAAATCGCACTCTCGCCTGCATTTCGCGCACTCGACACGCACGATCTCCGCAGAGGGTTGCGCGCGGACCGGACGAATCGCACTCTCGCCTGCATTTCGCGCACTCGACACGCACGATCTCCGCAGAGGGTTACATTTTCGGTTGACGCTGTTCGTCCCACCCTCCGCCTTCAAGAGAGAATTTGTAAAGTGGGGAAATGTTTTTTCATTAGGACATCTCCCGTGCTAGTTTTCCATGCTCACACTTGCCTACTCATTGCACGCTTGCATACTCATCATTGCACTTGCATCATTACACTTGCAACACTTGCATACTTTGACACTTGCATACTTTGCACTTGGATGCTTTCGCTTTTCCACTTACACTGGGATACGTATAGCGTTCATGTTGTAGTGCAAGTGTGGTGGAAGTGTCAGTGTGTAAGTGTAAGTACCAAAGTGTCAGTGTTCAAGGGATTTTCCGGAAGAACCCTTCGCAATGCTTTCGGGATCAGCAACGCACCAAAACATTAGCATTATTCATGACCGCTTTTTCAAACATGGGGTCTGGAATAATTTGGAAAAAGTAACATTATTGAAGACCGGTTTACTTATCAACGTCCATCATTCATAGCTACGGCCTCCAACCTACCTGCTATGGCTTCCAACCTACTAGCTATGGCCTCCAATAACTGTTGCCCCCAACCTGATAGCTACGGCCTCCAACCTAATAACTATAGCCCCTGATCTAATAGCTACGGCCTCCAACCTAATAGCTACGGCCTCCAACCTAATAGCGATGGCTCGTCCTCGTCGTGTCCTTTGCCATTTGTCATTTTCTACTTGCGTTGGATTGGCCGAGAGGTTCTTTCTTGCCGAACTCGTTGTGTAGCTGTTTGGTGTCTGTGGGTCGAGTTTCTTCGCCGACTGTTTTTGCTCCTGTTCAATTTCTGCAACTGCAACTTTTCTGCAACTCTTTGGGTTTGGTGGCCTTGTGCTCGCTGCGTTTGCGCTCGAATCTTCAATACTGAGCTTAGTTCGTGATCAGCGGGTTCGGAAAGTCGGATCATTTGAAGCGTGGATCGTCCGCGAAAGCGTTTCGTTTAGGCTGAGATGAAAGGAGAAAACTTTGAAGAAGAGGAGGGTGCGTGAGGAAAATTGCGCATTTGACAGATTTGAGGTGCGAAATCCACCATTTTCTGTGGTTTCAGGAGGAGGGTGACGTCGACTTGGAGGCGAAGAAGCGAAAGGAATGCGAGCGGAAGACGGAAATCTCCATTCTACGCTTCGATCGCGTCACGAAATTCCTTTCGAAGCGAGGAAGTCTCTACTTCGGCTTCGGAGCAAATAAGAGAAACAACGTAAGATTAATAAGTAAGATGAACACGAAGCAACGGAGCAACTAAGGACGTTCCACAAGCAGAACTGACCCCGGAGGAGTGGGGAACCAAAGCAGGGCAACGCTGACAACAAATGCTTTCGTTGTTACTACTAGCTTCTTGTTACTACTAGTAAGGCACTTGTTACTA